TGCTGCTCTAATCCTGGCCTCCCCGATGGCTGAAGGCAAGGATTTTTAAAGGCAGGGGTGCAGAAGCAGCAGGCAACATCATAAATCCACCTATGGAGGCCACACATTAGTTTAAGCTTAAAAGGGCAGATGTCCTGTTGCAAGGGATCATGGGTCATAGATGGATTCAGAGATCTTGTGATTTTCAGTCGGTTAATGAAGAGAAGATTTGTTTAAAATTTTGGGCGTTAGCAGAAAAATGTTAACTTGCTAGGAAGACTGACTGTCTCCAAGGCCCTCAGGAAGAAAGTTAGAACAAAGGGCAATCCTTGAAGTTCCCTCTTCACTTCCCTCTAATCTGGGGTGGGTGGGTGTGCGAGTGTGTGTGTGGTGGGGGGGGGGGAGGGGTCCTTAGTCAGGGTCTGAGCCTGTGAAGGACAGTTAGAGGGCAATGTCCAGAAGTGATCTTTAGATCTTTAGTTACCATAAGAAAGCACACATCTGGCCTTAGGTTCCTTGGCTATTGCTTTAGGTGATTACCTTCTTAACAAGCTAATTGACTACCCTGGGGCTGGCTAGATACCTGGAGTTTTTCTTAAAAGAGCTTTGGGATTTTCCTTTACTACTTCATGCATGGGGATTTGCAGGGGCCTAAAAGGAGGGGAATTTCTGCTTCATTTCAACTTCTCTGTAGAAGATCATGATTAGAAAATTATGAAAAATAAATTCATCTTTCTGTAAAACTAAGAAGCTAAGTTATCATAAAATTATATTGATCATTAAGAGAAGTAATTGTGAGAAATATGTATGAATAAAATGATATATTTTTGCTTTTAGAAGAGACTTAGGATGATACCTAATAGATTCATTTTCTGGAAGAAAAATTAAGTCCAATTTTATCAGAAATATATTTCTGGAACTGTGACTCTTGTCCAAATTATAAAGCTGGTTTGGACTTAAGGAGGGCCTGGACATAAACACTTTGATCACCAAGTCAGAATAAATATTACTCAGATTTTATTACAGTATTAAATTCTAGTTTAGCCAGCATCACAAATGTCAGGAATTTATATTAATATTAATCGTATGAACGTAATCAATATAATTAAGAGTAATCTAAAACAGGATTGTTTTTTTATTTCAAACAATATAGTATTTGTAATGAACATTACACAATTGTTTTATACAATCATAAAATCCATATTGGGAATTGATTAACCCTTTATTTTTTTTTTTATTTTAAGTTCAACGGTACAAGTGCAGTTTTGTTTCATAGATAAATGTGTATTGTGGGGATTTATTATACAGATTATTTCCTTATCCAGATACTAAGCCCAGTACCCATTAGTTACTTTTCCTGCTCCTTTCCCTCTTCCCCCTCCTCCCACCCTCACCTCCCACAGGCTCCAATGTATGTTGTTCCCCTTTATGCATCCATGAGTTCTCATCATTTAGCTCCTATCTGTAAGAGAGAACATGTGATATTTGTTTTCTCTCTATTAGTTTGCTAAGGATAATGGCCTCCCGTTCCATCCGTGTTCCTGCCAAAGACATGATCTCGTTCTTTTTTATGGCTGTGTAGTATTCCATGGTGTATATGTACCACATTTTCTCTAACCAGTCTATCATTGATAGGCATTTAAGTTGATTCCATGCTTTTGCTATTGTGAAAAGTGCTGCAATGAATAATACCCAGTAATGGGATTGCTGGGTCAAATGGTAGTTCTGTTTTTAGGTCTTTGAGGAATCACCACCCTGTCTTCCACAGTGGTTGAAATAATGTACACTTCCACCAACAGTGTATAAGGATTCCCTTTTTTCTGCCACCTTGTCAACCTGTGTTATTTTTGAGTTTTTAATAATAGCCAGGAATTTGTATTAATGATAGTCAGAATGTATATTAATATTAATCATATTGATAATGTAAGCAATGCAATCTAAAACATGACTTCAAATTGAATAAACTTGTATGAGTTTGTTTTCACGCTGCTATGAAGAACTGCCTGAGACTGGGTAATTTATAAAGGAAAGAGGTTTAACTGACTCATAGTTCAGCAGGGCTGGGGAGGCCTCAGGAAACTTGCATTCATGGCAGAAGGGGAAGCAGGTGTCTTAGAGCATATGAGAGCGCCAAAAAAACTACCATTTACAATATAAACCATCAGATCTTGTGAGAATTCACTCAGTATCATGAGAACAACGTGGGGGAAACTGCCCCCATGATCCAGTCCCCTCCCCCAGGTCTCTCCTTCAGCACCTGGGGCTTACAATACAAGACGAGATTTGGGTGGGGATGTGTATAGAATCAATACCAAACTCTATTGATTAAACTGTGAATATGACTTTTAGTATCAAAGAGGGCTTTGATAAGATGATTCTGTTATTTTCTTTTTCCTCCATTCTTGTCACTGAAAAATGTCTTTCCCCAAGGATTTTAACACCTTAACGTATAAAGCTTTCCGAGATTTGACTGTTTGTTTGTTTACTGTCATTGGTTACATAAAATTACGAGTCTAGACACTTACCCTATGTAACTTTGTGGGGTTTTTTGTTTTGCTTTTGCTATTTAACAAACATACGTCAGTATTTTCCAAGCTGCCTAAGCAAAGCCTTTGGCCCCAAATCCTGATTCAAAAATTAAAAAGCAGCTTCAGGACATAGTTTTATAAAAAGCGAAGCAAAGCTAAGGACCCAGGCAGCTGTCTTAATCCATCTTTTTTTTTTTTTTTTTCCTGTGGAATCTTGCTCTGTCACCCAGGCTGGAGTTCAGTGGCGCGATCTCAGCTCACCGCAACCTCCTCAGGTTCAAGCGATTCTCTTTCTTCAGCCTCCTGAGTAGCTGGGTCTGTAGGCGCACATCACCACGCCCAGCTAATTTTTGTATTTTTAGTAGAGACGGTGTTTCACCATGTTGGCCAGGATGATCTCAATCTCCTGACCTTGTAATCTGCCCACCTCGACCTCCCAAAGTGCTGGGACTATAGGCACGAGCTACTGGGCCCAGCCTGAGTCCATTTTTTCTTAGAGGAAAGAGCCTTTTAAAGTGCACCAGTGATTTGCTGCCTTCCTCCCCCTCACCTATATCTTGCATGTTCTTCACATGTACCCCAAAACTTAAAATGCAATAAAAATTAAAAAAAATAAAGTGTACCGGTGAAGAAGTGGAAGTGGTTTTTATGAACCATGCAGAGACAGTTACTTACAAATTTCTCATCTCAGATCCTGGAAAGGGGTTTTTGTATTTTGTTTTTTTGTTTTTTTTGCCCATTTCTTAAGAAGCGCTAGACTCTGAAAAGGAGCATGAGATGTTTCAAGAAACAGAACATGGCACGTCTGAGGGGAACTGCATTCCCAGGGTTGTTCTTCCTCACTGCCTTGCGGCGTGCCAGTAAGCGTACTTTCCAGGAACTGCAGGATGGATACTAAGCCTTTGTTTAAAAAAAGCCAAACCTCTCCATAGATCCCTAAGCTTAGTATGTAGGCAATGGCCACTTTTGTGGGCGGTATGAGCTGGTGATATTTCTGGTGGAAAAACACAAAGAAGATGTTCATGATGATGAAAAAACAAAGAAATCTCTGTTGAGCACGGGGGATTGGCGGGAATCATTGCAGGGAAAGTTGCCAGTCATTTTAATCACAAGCAGTCATTTTTCAAAGTTAAGAAATGAGATTTAAAATGCTTTGCAGTTTGCCTCTTGCCATAGACTGCAGAATCAATAAGCCAGATCCTCCAAAAATCAAACCTTATTCAAGTCGAGAAGCTCATCCTCTTCCTGTGCTTAAGATATTTTTCCCAGCCTGCTCACAAAAAAATCCACGGAAGTGATTTGAGATTCCCCTTGCTTTCCTCTTGCTTTCAGGGGAAGCTGCCAGGAAAAAGCAGTGAGGAATCTGGATTGCACTGTGCCAAGGGGTGGGACACTTGCCTTTGAAGACCCCTGAGTTCTGCCCCCTCTTAGGCACATGTGTTGGGTTGACCCCAGGTCTTGCCTCAATTTCCAGCCTTCTCATTTACCAGCTAATAGACTTCCAACCTCTTAGAAAGCTTCACCTTCCATCAGCCATGAAGCGGAGCTAGTAAATCAGGTGGCCCAAGGCTTGTCCACAGCAGACGCTCGTGGAAGTGAGGGGAGCAGAACTATAGCCTCCCTGTGGCGGCAGCCCTGGACAGCAGTCTGGCTCCAAACAGGCCGAGGGTGGACGCCCTCATCATCTTCAGGCTGGCTTTGTATAATCAAAGCTTCCTTAGTGAGAGTCATGGAAGAAAACGTGGCTAGCACCAAATACAGGGCCTGATGGCGGACGGCATAGGGCGCTAACGACTCCTGCCTGCTGCACCACAGACCATGACTCTGAACGTGCGACTATGCTCAGTCGAGACGTCTCTCTCCATATTTGCAAATTGAATGTGGAATTCCCACAGCCCTGTGCCTGAAGAGAGTGAAGAACCACGCAAAGCCAGCTCTTGACGCTGCCAAACGCGGAGGCCAGGGAGCAGGAGGACATGGGGCACACCGATGGTGCGGATGCACGTTAATCCCAGGCCTGGCTGCTCTCCAGAATGGAAGTTTTTAAATGTAGTAAACCTTAAGTGATGAAGAGTAAATGCTCAAAACAAACGAAGACATTTGATAGCAGCTATCATGTGCCGGAGGTACTCTCTCTGCAGCTGCTTCAGCCTGTGTGTAGTATGTCTGAAGCACTGTAATTCTGCCTCTCAAGATGGTGCCAGCCAGTGCGCTAGCTCAGGCCGCACTCCCAGAATGGCTCAGACAGCAGGAATTCATGTTCTTACAGTTCTGGGGGCTGGGAGTTTGAGGACAAGGGGCCCGCAGCCCGGCTGGTTTCTCCTGAGACCCCTCTTTCTGGCTTATGGCCTCCCTCTTCCCTGCACACTGGGGCCTCCTCACTGTGCATGTGTGGGCGAAACCTGGCATCTCTTCCCCTTGTTACAAAGATGCCAGTCTTGTTGGATTAGGGTTCACTCAAGACCTCATTTAACCTGGATTATTTCTTTCTAGGCCATCTCCAAACTAGAGTCACTTTGGGCTGGGGCACCAATGTATGGATTTGATGTGTGCATATTTCAGTTTATAGCACTCACCAAACCACAGAAGCTTCCCAGAGCTGATGTCATGCTGTCGCTGAGGCCACAGGACACTGTCCCATTGCTGCAGGGACCCTCTCACTCTCTGAGCGGTCACCTGAGGCTGGCGCACACCATTTTCTTATTCTATGCACTGCAGCAAAAATGTTTAATTGACTGCAATGGGTGATTCCTAAAGGTATATTTGACTCAGAAAAAAATGCATTGGTAAAAGTCACTGTTTGAATGTTTCCAGTATTCAGAGCCCAGGTCACTACCTTTCTAAAATGATTGGTATCTGAAATAAGAACCCTGGCTGCAGCCTACAACCATGCTCTTTCTACTGTATAAACCTCCCTAATCAAATACTTTTTCATAACAACATATGTTTTTGGAAATGAAAAGTTATGACCTGGTTCCCAGCTCTCTTTTTATGTTTTTCTTTTAAGACAGAGTCTCACTCTTGCCCCGGCTGGAGTGCAGTGGCACAATTCCGGCTTACTGTACCCTCTGCCTCCCGGGTTCAAGTGGTTGTCATGCTTCAGCCTCCTGAGTAGCTGAGATTGCTGGCATGTGCTGCCATGCCAGTCTCAAACAATCCACCTGCCTTAGACTCAACATGCCAAGATTACAGGCATGAGATACAGCGTGTGTCCCTCTCTCTCAGTGTAACGTTTTAGAGGGCATCACCTCATCACACTCATGCTGTGCCGCTGACACCAGGGCAGGCAGCTCTCAATCCCTTCGTGGCATGAATCCAGCAGACCACGCCTGAGAACAGATTTGAGGGAGATGGGGTGTCTCCTGGCTCGCTGGTGCTCAGCTTTGGAAAGCACAGCTCCTGTGAGGCTTTCCTTAATGCTCCGAGTCCCCTGTGGGTTCTCTAATCATCGCAGGAGCCTGGGTTGCCCCAGGTGCTGCCCGGGGAGGCCTGGGTGTCCTGTCTGTACTCCAGTGAAGACGCCATGGAGGCTGGAAGCTCTTCAGGCCCTGCCTGCCCCACGTGCTTCCCCCGCTGCGAGGGATTTCTCCATGGACCTGGCTTCTCCCCATGGAACCTGTGCTTTCCACTCCATGTGGCCAGGACGACTTGGGGAACTTGTCTCACTCACGGCCATTGGCCCTCAGGTCCACGGGGCCCTGAAAATGCTCTTAATAGAGCAGGCTGGGGCAGCTGGCAAGCAGTGAGGGACACGGATAGCCCATCAGAAGCCCAGAAAGACACTGAGAAGTTCAGCTGTGAATAAAGAGCTGAGTGACATTCCCGACGAATTCTGTCTTAAGTGGAATGTTGCTGGTCACCTCTCAGGTCTGGAAAAACCTTTTCTGAAGCCAAGTTTCAGTCTGCAGCAGGGCCTTCTCTTCCTGTTTATTTACTAGTCCTGGTGGGAAGCGTTCACCCCACCTCGCTCCCTGGCTGGTATGCGTCCTTCCGGTTGAAGGAACTTCTGAAATAGGTTTGGAAGTCCTGGTCGTTCAGGTGTTTCCTCAGGGGATGACCATACATTTCCTGGGTGCCTGCCGCTGGCCTCTGTGGCCTGGCCTGGCTGGGGCATGTGAATGCATGTGGCCTGCTGGTCCGCCTGTGAGGCTGGGGTGTGCACAGGACTGGGGGGGCTCCCAGCCACCAGCGGCTGCCCCTCACTTCCCCTGTGTTCTATGCCAACAGTTGTGCTTAACTTATGAAAGCAGGTCAGTAAGCGCTGTCTCAGCTGAGGCTGCCGGGAGGAAATACCGTCGGCCAGGCAGCCGTGGCAGCAGACATTCCTTCTCTCAGTTCTGGCGGTGGCATGTCCGTGATCAAGGTGCAGGAGATGTGGAATCTGCAGTGGACAGTGTCCCAGGTCACGGATGACGCCCTCTCCTGTGTCCTCACATGGGGAAAGGGTGAGGGCCTCCCTGGGCCCCGTTATCCAGGGCACTAATCCCGTTTGCAGGAGGCCCGCCCTCTCTACCTAGTCACCTCCCAAAGCCATCACCTTGGGGGTTAAGATTTCACTGTGTGCATTTTGGGGACACAAATGATCAGCCCATGGCACGTAGGAAACCCACAGATGACTAATCAGCGTGAAGCCCGGGGAAGCAGGAGACACTTCACCAAGGGGAGAATAACGCCACCAGAAGCGTGACACCCCACACGTCCCTATTATCATTTTAGGGCCTTCGTGCAGAGGGAGTGAGGATGGGGCCTGCTGCTGGTTTTGGGGTCACACAGGTCCCAGGCGCTCTGTCATTACTATAAGCGTATTATTACTGTAAGTGTAGGGTTCTGTCACCCACTCCAGTTGTCTGTGAGGGGATGAGGGGGAGCTGGGGGATTTCCCTGAGGTCTCAGGGCTGGTATTTGGCAGAGTGAGGCTTGAACTTGGGTACTGTGGGTACTGAGCCGGCCTCACTGTCCTTGCCGCTGTGGAGGAACATGGCACATTTTCATAACATTTTGCATTTTAAATAGTGTTTTTTTTGCTATGTAAGCACATAACAGTGTGGCCATCAACTCAGTTAGAAGAACCATCTCCCATTTCCATTACAAGGAAACCCAGATTCAGAGCCCACGCAGCACTCAGCTAGCCCCACATTGTTACGGGGAGCAGCGACCAGGCGACAGGAAACTCTGGGCCTCAGAGCTTGTCGCTCCGCGGCAGGCGTTCCTGGACCCGGCATTGCGGGCTGGGTGACAGCGCCACTGCTCCTGGGGAGGTCCTGGCAGGGTCCTTCTGGCCTCCCTCCCAACTGGAAGGCAGAAAAGGGCACATGCACTCACTCTGTCCTCTTCACCGGCTCTTCCCGTCCCTCGTGCCCCAAGGCTCGTTCCCAACAGTGGTCCGGCCCAGCAGTCTCGCTTCCCTTCCAACTCCCAGAACCAGCCCTGGTGCCCCTCCAAGGCCCCCGCACTCCATGTGCCTGCTCAGAGGCCTCCTGGGGCTCTGGCCCTGCCCTTTCTTTCCTCACTCAGTTGGGCCAGGAGCTGACTCCCCTCCCCTGCCTTCCCTCATTCAGCCAGACTGGGAGCTGACTCCCAGGTTGTCCTCCTGTAGTTCTGGCCACCTTGTTCTTTTTAAATTTTCTGCCTTGGCCAGGCATGGTGACTTGCCTGTAATCCCAGCACTTTGGGAGGCTGAGGTGGGCAGATGATTTGAGGTCAGTCGTTCGAGACCCGCCTGGCCAACAGAAGGGCCAACAAACTCGTCTGTACTAAAAATACAAAAATTAGCTAGGCATGGTGGCACGCACCTGTAATCCCAGATACTCAGAGGCTGAGGCAGGAGAATCACTTGAACCCAGGACAGAGGTTGCAGTGAGCAGAGATCGTACCATTGCACTCCAGCCTGTGCAACAGAGGGAGACTCTGTCTCAAAATTAAATAAATGATCAGTTCTCTGTCCTCTTCATTGAAGGTGTGGTAGGAATGTGGTTTGGTTTCCTTGCATCTGTCTTTGTTGAGTTCAGGGCTCTGCTGTGTGCCACCTGGAAAAGGCAGTTTCTACTGGGGAGGGACTGAGGAGCTTTTACAGTGGGGGCTGGGTCATGATTTCTAAAGCGGATATGGGAGTGACAGGGAGGGCTCAACTGTGATTAGAGAAAGGTTTTCGTTTTAATTCAGTGTTGGAAGTTGAATACTTTTTAAATTAACTCATTTTTAAAATCCCATAACTAGATTTACCAACAAAATTGAATTTGGGCTGAAGAAATGCATTTGGGCCCGATTTATTTTAGGCTTGATAAAGATGACTGTGTGGGCACACTGATCAGGACTCCGGGATTCAACACATCTGATGTTTAGAAGAAAGCCTATATTATTAAAAAAAAAAAAAGAAAAAAAAATGTAATCCAAAATACTGGTGGTGTGGTCAGAAGGGATCTTTCTTATATGATTAATGGGAATTCAGGCAGCCATAACCTTTATAAGAGATGACACCAATTATAGAATATATTTCCTGTGGCCATACTCAAAGACATGGGTAAATATTAGCAAAAATTTGGAAACAACCTTCAAGTTCTAATATAGAAGAATGAGAAAATGAGCCATGTACCACAATTTGACAACAAAAATCATAGTTTTGAAGAATATTTAATAACAAGAGTAAAGTGCTTAACATATAAAAATTACGGAAAACTATGACTCAAGGCCGAATACTAATGACATTTATACAAAAGCTTGATGTTTATGTTTACATTTTAGATGATTTCTTATTTATTTATATTTTGAATTATATTTTCAAAAATTTCTGAAACAAATTCATATTAAGTTTATAATTTGTAAGCATACTGTAAACATTGTGGAAAAATTTACAAGCTTAATTTTGTTTAAGAATGGCTTGGAAAAATATATCTCAGAGTATTTTGCTGTTTTTTGGATTATTTAGGAATGTCCGTATTCTACCTACATATATAATTTTTTTGCTATTAAATTGGAATTTTAGACAACCGTTTTTCACAAGAACTCTTTGGAAAGTGAATTTACATTTTCTTTAAGGATTTAAAGATCTTTAAGGTTCTGAGAGGTTGCCATACAGTTTTTGGTGTATATTAACTGAATAATAAAATTATGCGTCATCAGGTGGTTCACCAATAAACTGAAGGGTTATACAGTTAACTTTTCTCTGAAGACAGAAAGTACAATCCTAAGCCATGAGTTCTGAGCATCACATGCCTCGTAACTTTGAACGTAATAGAAGGTAAGTCGGCAGGCTTAGTCAGCACGTCCGTTAAACATGGAGAATGTTCAAGAAACTGGATGGAGTGTTCCTGCACAGAGATCAGAAGGGAAGCTCGTGTTCCCCTGTGGCTTTGATAGGTATTTGTGAATTATTTGGGTCTAGTGTAGAACATCTTTTGTAAACATGCCATACAAAGATACAGTGTGTCATTACTTCCTTCAAGAGCTGAAAAGGGCAAATCTCACGTCTGCTTGCTCTGTAAGCCTTGGTTTCACAGGGTTTCCTCAGGAAGTGGTAATGGCTGTTCCCTTGGCTATTGGAGTGGCTTTGCCAGGGCAGGAGGGGGCTTCCACTGTATGCCTATGTTCCTGGAGTCAGGAAAGTTCTAGGCATGGGGGGAATGAGGGAACGGAGGTTAGGCAGAGAACTGAAAAGCAAGGCAGGCCGGCCCTTCATGAGAGACCCAGCTGGGGGAGGAGACACTAGGAACGTAGCGTGGGAGCTGCAGGCGGGTCGGGCACACCCAGGTTTCTGAAAAGCTGAGGCGGTCACATCTCCTTCCTTTCTGGATTGCTCTTCATGTTCTCATAGAGACTTTCCGTGGGAGAAGCAGAACTACACAGGATAAAGACCATTCTTCCTAAGGTTGGATTAATGCTCACGAGACAGCATCCCCTGTGCAGGGGCCTCCAGGGTGTGAGGACTGCTGGCCACAGCGGGGCCAGGAGCTGTTGAGTTAGTGCAGTCGCCACTCT